ATGTGTGATTTTATCGATAAAAACGTTTTAATTGCGTATGCATGTTCACTTTGAGCAAATTGTGAGCACTGGTTGGGGAAATCTTCGGTAGATTGGGCAAATCGCTAATTGGGCCCCAATTGGGTAAAAATTATAGCCAAATTGGGAAAAACTTTTGGCTCTGATCGGGCAACTTCAAAAAATTTCCAGCATGGAAATTTTGTCATAATGGCCAACAATTTTTGTGCCCTCAACCGGCACGAAAATCTGCAGCATCATATAAGTGAATTTTCAGAAAAAAACTCATAATTCGAAAATGACGAATTTTAGCATATTGCTACACTTACTGAAAATAGTTTATACTATTCCCTAATAACCAAAAAAGTTTGAGAGAAAAAACAGATGTGGCAATTTGGAAAAAATCAATTTGAAAAAAAATTTTTTTTGTTTATAAACAATAATTAATTATTAATAAAAAATTACTGATGTTTAGTTCACTAGATCGATTCAGTAGATCAATATCTGCAATTAAAAAAAAAAAAATCGTTAAAATCCTTGCTTTTTTGCGGCAGTTATAAGCGATTTCATCAAAAGTTGCTATTAAGAGAGGAAAAAATAAGCGTTCGTACTCAAAAAGAAAAAAATACATTATTCGAAAAATTCGCGTTTCTGAGCAAAAAGAAAAAATACGTGTCTCCTTAAATTGTTCAAGGAACAATTCCTGTGAGTTTTATCGCAAACTTAAATTCACTTTCCCCCGGCCTGGGTGATTTGAGATGGAATGAGCCATTGATATTTTTAAGGACCACCTTAATGTACATTCATATATGTATGTATGCTTATTTACAAAAATTTTTGACGAATAAGTTCATATCACAATTGGTAAAATACTTTTCCTATAATGGTTTTAAAGAATACAAACAAATTAGCCATTGGGAGAAATTTTGTACATAAAAACCTTTTTGTTTAGCAGTATGTACATTCATTTATGTATGTAACTGTGCTTATTCATATGTATGTACATATAAATATGTAGCATATGCTGCAGTAGCATTAAAAGTATAAAAGCTCATGCAATTTACCATATCAACATATAACCTGTCGACTATACACCGAAAAAATGACAAAAAATTATAGCGCAATACTGATCCTTTTACTTCTGGCTCTTATCACAGTAGATGGTAAGTTCAAATTAGCGGATTAATTGGCATACAAAAGAAATATAAATGTTTTTTTATTAAATCGTATAATCGATTTTTTATTTTTAGCTCAAGTCTCAAGAGCATGTCTCAAGATACCGATAAAAACATCTATAGGCCAAAGGTTATGCGAAAGACAGTGTCCACCCACTCGTACTCCGATCAAATGCGCAACTTCACGTTTGCCTATAACCATCAGAATATGTCCTCCATTTTGCTGTCGCATTGGTGATGGCTGTCGCAGACTTTAGCGATTATAATTTTAGAAAAATTGTGTAGTATTAATATGAAATTGTTATATACGTATGTATAAATAAATGCACATTAATTAAGTGTATACTTCAAAAATATTTTACAGAGTTTTTTATTATTATATTAATTTTTAAACATTTTTTCAAAAAGATGTTGCATTTTTTACATTTGATATTTACTATAATTTTCAATACAATGAAACTTCGAAGTCGCTAAAGAAATCCTGAAGTTATTGCAATAAAACAAACATTTATTACAACTAACTTCCAGTATTTTATATAGAACTAAATAATATAATGCGAGAAGGGATTTTTTTGTCCAGGTCATCAGATCTGCACCGTTCGTTCGATTTACCAGAATGAGGTGTCAAAGGGCTTGGGCTGTAGAAGTGCAATAAGGTTTAAGCTTTCAAACTATTTACTAATCAATGCCATTAGAGGTGTCTAAGCAAAGGGCGTTGCAATAAGATTTCACTTTTTTGAAAAGAGTTGCCAACCGTTAGGAAAGTAAGCTCAAATTATTAAACAATTTAAATCAAGTGTTAAATGTTATGTGCATCAACCAAATTGGTTTTGAAAAGACTTTACATGTTAACTATATGTAGGAGAGTTACCACATGTTTAAAAAATCTAATTCCATTGGGTTTTTTTAGTGTCAAGGTGTTAGGAACACCGCATTCTAGAAGCTTATATTAAAAAAATTAAGGGAAATAAAATGATGCAAGTCCTTCATAAGCCTGAAAATATATTTTACCGTAAAGTATATGGGAATAACGGTAGTCGTATGCTTCACGCTTTGTTAAAAAAAGGTGGTAGTACTTTTAGGCAGTCCGCACATTAGGCGCTTAATCAAGGTAGTGCACACGTTTCGGCATAATAAAGCATGATACTTCTGTGCCGAACCCACACTGCAAAAAGTGGGAGTTGATTAAATAATAGTAAATAATTGCGCTTCTTTATAACCAAAACGTTTCAAATACAGGGTGATTCACTAGAGTCAGTAGATTCAGTAGTGATACAGTAGACTACCTGCCCTAAGCTCGATTGACAAACCAGCCGAATTTGCTTCCGCGGTACACCGCACCTATATCAACTTTAACAAACCTCAGTGGCAGGTCCTCGCGAATGTTACCGAGGCCACATTCGGCGTCCTACGCACACCAAAAGACGTTCATGCTGCCGAATGCTAATTCCACAAGGTTGTCACTCCCGCCGCATCACGGTTCATTCCTGCTGCATGCATTGTGGAAACTCGCTCGAATTTCTCAGCCGAAGCGGTGTTCTAACGAATGAGAATGACCACCTTCGGCACGTCGATTCCGCGACAGCGTTATGACAGAGTGGAGCGATGCGCGAACTATTGTTTGCCAGTAATTCACATTGCACCTTCCGGTGAACAATGCCAAGCGTCGAATGGCCAGAAGGCTGCAAAAACTGCTTAAACTTAGCGGTGTCTTGTTTTCACCAGCGGCGAGGTCCAGGTGGTCATCGGGAAGGCGAAAGCCTTCAAAGATATTGGTCTCGACGAAATATGCATGTTGATGCTGAAAACATTGGGTCCAATGGGAGTAGATCAACTCACCAAGGTCCTCAGTATAAGAGAACAACCCTAGTAGCGTTGGACTTGCAAAAACGCATTTGACACCGTCTGCCATTCCACGCTACTAAATAGTAGACATAGATCATCTCGTACCTTTCCATACTTTCCAGCTTATTTACTGCAAGGAGTCTATCCTTCTCCCCTAAGAAATCCTAAGCAATAATTTTTAATACCTGGACAAAAGGGATCCGGTTACAGGCAGCCACGTCGACAGCTTGCCAATTCCGATTGTGAATAGCCCGAAAATCTTCGAAGTAACCTTCAACAATCTGCTCTATTTCTCAGCGCATGAAACCGCAATTGGACCACAAGGAGACCGTCACCACTTACACCACCAACTCTCGCCCTGTGAATGCCGTCATTGACTATGTACATAGAAAGACCCACGTGACTCTGCCTCAATTACTATTTAAACTGTTACTTATCCAGACTAGACCCCATACATTTGGTAATGTATGTCCGGCATATGAAGGTTCTTCTAACGACCTCTTCACATGCCCACTCAATGGTCCGGTCACGTCAAAACAGTACCCCTCCTTGGCCTACTTTTAGTTGAACTTGACCATTATGATTCTAGGCAGGCCCAACTAAGTTCAGGGGGATCAAAGGACGAGATATGTTAGAGTCGTAGGGTTCAATTCTGGATTGGCATGAGTTTAGTTTAATATACATTGATATATACATATGTGTTTTCCAAGACAGTCCGACTCTATAGTCTGCAACAGGTGACTTTGCGAGTATCATTAAAGGTCAGTCTATAGTCAGTTGGGCGTGGAGGTCATAAAATGCATACATATATGTATTCTAGGACAACGCTAGTCTGCGCTCAGATACATATGCTCACTAATGTGAGACAGAGGCGGTGGCCAAAATATATACATTATTTCTATACATGCACGTATGTTTGCATGAATGTGCCAATGAAAAAATTTAACAGCTGTCATAATAAATGAGATCGACGATAACTTCCTCACTTTTGTGAGGAATTCTTCGAATGGTATTTTTCGCTATCTTGAAAGGCGGGGCATTTTTTGTTTCCTGGTTATTACGACAAATTTTCTGGTTAGCAAAGCAGGAAATTAACCAGTAGTTATTCATTACTTTATCCCAATCAATGCAGGTACAGTGAAACAATTGCTTTAACATTATGTAAAGTCGAAAAGTTGATAAAACAAAAAAGTGCTTTTCATATCCGAAAAATCAGCTGGAGCAAGAAGCACATAGATTGATTAAACTCATGAGGCTATAAAAAGAATTATTCAGCAGCAAAAATCTGAGTAGTAATAAAAATGCGCGCAATGAGTTTTTTATTGATAACCGCAGCTATATTCGCAGTTTTTGTAAATGTAGAAGGTATTTCGTTACTAAATATACAATGTAGAATATATACATTAGGCATATGATTTTTATTATTTTTTTTTGTTATATACAGCTAGTATGAGGAAAAGATGAAGAATGATGAGAAACTCACAAGAATAATTTTGTTGTATTTTTTTTTTTTTGATTTGGTTGACTTCGAATTTTTCTTATATGGAATTTTCATATACGAAAGTTAAAACGCATATATGTACAATGTATGTACATTAGAGTGGTACAAAAATTTTTTTTTCGATATAGGATTTGGGGCACCTTCCAAAATTTTTCCTCTTGCCGAAAGAAGTGCTGGTGCCAAACCTTACGTTTCTAAGTAAAAATTTAAATTAAAAATTTAAAATATTTTACTCTAGAATTATTGTGTTCATATATTAATCAAGCAATTGGGTTAAGTAACCTAAGAACATTTCTAATTTAAATTATCTATTAAAATATCACAAGCTTCAGTTGTCATGGCAACAGTAGCTTTTTTAGAAAAATTACCAATATTTTTTCCCGTTTCACGGCGATCCATTAGCGAATTTCAATGACACTGAGCACCCTGTATTTGTTGTATTGGTGTAGTAGAAAAATGAAAGTTGGTATAGATATTACAAATATCAAAAGGAAAAAGCGAAGGGGGTGCCTCATTTTTTCGGATGAAATTTCTTTTCCCCATACAAAAATTGGGCAAAAAATGAAAAATTTAGAAACGAATCAAAAGATCGCTGCCATAATTTCGAAACCTTTCTTCATAGTAGTTTATGAGCTACTGCCATTTATTCCTTATTAATTTGATATGCATATTTATTTACATAAGTACTAAATATTTTTCAGCACGAAAACCTCAATGCAACTGGGAACGACGCACTGTCAAACCGGGTGATCGAGTTTGTGAGCGACTCTGTCTACGGAGAATTCGTGGATCACCGATTGGCTGCTATATAGCGAAATCGGCTACCACAGTGACGACTTGTTCATTGGATTGTTGTCGAAAGTACAATGGCTGTATAAAATTATAAATTGTATAAACTCAATAGGCTAGATAAACATGTATACGACAAAAAAAGGGCTTAAAATCTGTTAACTATGTATTAATGTGCTTTTAAGCAAAAGTAAATAAAGTGTGTTAACGTTATAAAAAAAAAATCTAGTTTAAATTTCTATATAAAAGGCATTGAAGTCTCGAGCCCATTCGTATTTCATTTTCTGACTTGCTATCAGCAGACGATAAAAAATGTCGAAATATTTTTACGTGATTTTAGTTTTTACTATACTTGCCGTAGCTCTGGTTAAATGTAAGTTTTTCTTTTTTTACATTATAGATGTAAAACGTGCGTAATCAACTAATTTGGTATATATGTATTTGCAGCACAACGACCAAGGTGCCCTCAGATAAATGTTCTGCCACGACGTGGTCAACGTATTTGTGAAAAGAATTGCCCTTCAATAGCTCCTGCATATCGTTGCGTAACAGGTAGTAGGGGCGTCCGAGTACGTATTTGTCCACCTAATTGTTGCAGGTCGGGAAGAATCTGCCTTGCGTTCCAAATATCAGAATAATGTTGACAATAATTGGTATAATCAATTTGTAAGGAAATTTTAATAAAATGAGAAAATTTAATGAAAAATAAAGTATAGGCATTTTATTATTACTAGTGTTCGCCCAGCGGTTGAAATTCAACCGATAAAATTAAGGATAGTTTATGTAAGTTGAATGAGCTAAAATAACATTAGTTGGAATGGGTTAAGTGGAGGGGAGTTTAGCTTAGTACTTGGCATAACATAACATAACCATAACATAAGAATAAATAACATAACATATGAAGCATAACACACCACAATATAACATCGCACACTCTTCAGTTGTATTTCCTTTTTATCCCTTTTTTCACCTCTATCTAAATCTTATTTATTTTGGTTCATTTTATGCCAAATGATGTTGCCTTTGATGCCACATCAAGTGATATCATGTCATGTGGTGAAATTGGGTGTGGTGAGCTGCGGTGTGGTGGAATTGGGTGTAGGAGTTACGGTGTGGTGAATTTAGGTGTGGTGGATTCAAGTTAAGTTATGGTGAGAAAGTTGAGGTGTGGTGAATTAAGGTGTGGTGAATTTTGGTGTGGTGAGTTGAGGTGAGTTAAGGTGTGGTGAGAAAGTTGAGGTGTGGTGAATTAAGGGTGGTCGATTTAGGTGTGGTGGATTTAGGTGCGGGGGTTAAGGTGTGGCGAGTTGAGTTGTGGTGAATTTAGGTGTGGGGAGTTAAAGTGTGGTGAATTAATGTGTGGTGAGCTCAGGTGGAGTAAGGTTTTAAGTTAAGATGAGTTAAAGTTAAGGGGTTATGATCTTTGTCCTTATCTTCATCTTCATCTTCATCGTCATCTTCATCTTCATCTTCATCTTCATCTTCATCTTCATCTTCATCTTCATCTTCATATCCACCTTCGTTTGTATTAAGGTTTCTTTACTTTTATTCTAATCTTTGCCTTTATCCCTTTCTTCTTCTACATATTCAACTTTACCTTCTTGCTTGCATGAATCTTAATCTTCGTAAATCTCATTTCTAAACTGCTGCTTAGCAGATTTCTTTAATTCAGTATCAATATTAAAGCAATGTCATTGATGCCACATAAAGTGATATCATGTCATAAGGGGAAATTGGGTGTGGTGGTTTGCGATGTGGTGGAATTGGGTGTGGGAGTTACGGCGCTGTGAATTCAGGTGTGGTGGGCTTAAGAGGTGCGGTGAGTTTAGGTGTGGTGAATTTATCTGTGGTGAGTTGAGTGCGGTGAATTTAGGTGTGGGGAGTTAAGATGTGGTGAGTTGAGGTGTGGTGAGTTGAGGTGTGGTGAATTAAGGTGTGGTGAGAAAGTTGAGTTGTGGTGAATTACGGTGTGGTGGATTTAGGTGTGGGGGGTTAACGTGTGGTGAGTTGAGGTGTGGTGAATTAAGATGTGGTGAATTTAGGTGTGTGGAGTTAAGGTGTGGTGAGTTGAGGTGTGGTGAGTTGAGGTGTGGTGAGTTAAGGTGTGGTGAGAGAGTTGAAGTGTGGTGAATTACGGTGTGGGGGTTAAGTTGTGGTGTGTTTCATCTTCGTCTTTATCTTCATCTTCATCTTCATCTTCATCTTCATCTTCATCTTCATCTTCATCTTCATCTTCATCTTCATCTTCATCTTCATCTTCATCTT